TGGGCTTGACACGCTCAGTCTTTGGTTTTGGGATGTTTTGGTACAACCAAAGAATATATAGTATAAAATACTGCAGGAATGTTAACACCACTGCATAGGTCAGAATTAATAATTATTCACTGTTTTCGCCGTTTGGTTCCTGCGGGATGGCGAAGCAAGACATGGAGCGAAAATATCAAGAAACTTGTCACAGGCTCAGGGTATGCTATGGTATGAGAAGGAACAAACACAGGAGCCCAACCAATTCCCATAACAAAAGCTAAAGCACAGGACAACAGGACATAGCTTAGGAGCATGCAACATGAATTTCATCCAGGCATCTGCAGTGTCCTGGGAAGGGTTTCTGGTATTTTCTGATGGGCTTGACATTTGGTAAATTAATCTAGGGGTTTTTGACCCCTTGACGACTCCAGGATTCATTTGTAAACTGCCACGGGCCCAGGGGACCATAGGATATCCCAAGCGCTTCCATCCACAGTAGGCCAACATATCCAGAATTGAAGGGGAAGGAGACTAAGGAAGTATGAGAAGGAAGAACTACCAGAAGCCCAACATAGCGCAACAACTTCCACAACAAAAGCGGAGGACAGCAGGAATTACCTCAGGAGAGCGTATAGTAGAATGAAGTTCATCACGGCGTCTAGTGCCCTGGGTAGAGTTTCTGGTGGGCCTGACATTTGGTATATTAATCTGGTGGTCTGTGACCCCTTCACCACTCCAAGATCAATTATATATCGCCATAGTCCCAGAAGATGTTGGATATCCCAAGCGCTTCCTTCCATAGTAGGCCAAAATGTCAAGCATTGAAGGGGAAGGAGGCTAAGAGATTGTACAAGGAGCCCAACCAATTCCCATAACAAAAGCTAAAGCACAGGACAGCAGGACATAGCTTAGGAGCCTGTAACATGAAGTTCATCCAGGCATCTCCAGTGTCCTGGGAAGGGTTTCTGGTATTTTCTGATGGGCTTGACATTTGGTAAATTTATCCAGGGGTTTTTGACCCCTTGACGACTCCAGGATTCATTTGTAAACTGCCACGGGCCCAGGGGACCATAGGATATCCCAAGCGCTTCCATCCACAGTAGGCCAACATATCCTGTGGCAATTTACATCCCGTGCTTGAAAAGGAGAAAACACAAGCGCAAAGACTTGTATGTGCTTTTTTGGATGGACGTGTCAACAGTCACTTTTCTAGCGTGTATGTTACTGATTCAATTCAGTTTTAAGATGTCCGTATTGCACCTGATATGAGAAGCTTTAAGGAAATGACTTGCCCACACCACCGAAGCAAAGGTTGTGGAACGTTAATGAAAGGGGAGGTTTCTGGAGGTCAAATCATTCAGGATTAAAAATGTCTATAGAAATAGTCTGAGACGGGGGCCACGTGCTTGATTGATATCAGGATAAACACTCAAACCCCCCTGGATTTAAAAAAAATTAATCCAGGGGTCCTGTACGGGGGGGTATCTAAGGCACCCCCCATGTTTGGGTGCGTTTTGTACACCTTCGCCCACCACCTTGCTACTGCCCATGCCAGGGGGGAGCTCAAGTCCTACAGCCCGTACTCTGTACGAAACCAATTAGAGGACGCGCTATATCGCATGTTCCGAGACGGGGAAGACGATGGCTGTAAACTGTAAGGATGTCGATGACCAAGGTTAGTGTGAAATATATGGAACAACATGGGACAAATCAGCTGTTTGATTTCCATTTTCCAGAAGGCCCACAGGCAGTTGAATCCCCAGAGGCTTTTTCAAGCCAAACACATTGCTGCATGTTGAGGCCTTTCATCCTGAAGGACTTTTGCCATGACTTTACTGTTGGCATAGTTAGGCATAGTAGTAGGCATAGTGGTGCGAAGTGTTGTTTCGTCCATGCTACATTGCATGGACGACTGGATAGGCTTCCAAAGGGCGAATTAGAACGTGAGGCTTTTGATGATTTCTTTTGTGTGCCATGTTGATTTGATTTTCAAGAGCTGAGATCCACAGGAGCCCGTGGAGTGCAAGAGTCCGGATCTTGCCAGGCAATCGAACACAAAACTGTTCAATTACTTTCAAGAACTGCAAGCATTTCATCCACACATGAGAGGGCAAGCAAAAACACACTCACACATTTAGTCTTTGCATGTCCGTTTTGCCAGAAAGATGCTCCATCATGCTCCATCCATTTTTAGATGATAAGGAAGACATAAACCGATAACACTGCACATGGACAACCTGTCATGTGTGTTTCATCTCAGGTTTGTTTCCCCCACCAAGGCAACATATGATAAAAGGAGGTGTTGTATTGCCGTATCTTGGTTTGTGCATGGACATCGATGTTTGTTCCGGGCACGAACACAATAACACAACGATAGCGATAACGCAGCGGACGCAGAGAACCCACAACACCTTGATTCCGGTACATTCGCACACTATGGATGGCCCACACATGTGCTAGCTGTGCTAGTGTAGAATGAACTGCGCAATGGTGTCATGCTTGCCAATTCCATACGGCACAAATGCATGCATTCCACGCGAATGTTGCAGCTAGTCGAAGCATGGTTAAGCAATAAGGAAGAAACTATACGATGTGCCAAACGGAAAATCGATGAACAAAAGGGGGCCTAGACAACCTCACATGATCAAACCCAACTATTTGATACTATGTGTGATAGACTGAGCAGCAACAGGTAAACATGGTGAAAACAGTCATGGTGGAGCAGACTCTGTGACTTGGACCTGCCTTCAGGCCAAAAGGTGAGTGAACATGTTTGAGTCTGAGTCCCTCTGAGACACGGTGCGACTGTGGCTCAACCAAAGAGCCGAAGCACAGCAGCTTTGGCATGTCAACTCGCAGACAAGGCCGCTGCATGCACGACTAATATACTGCAAGTAGAAAGCTAAACTGGTTTCTGGAGCTGCCATGTGTGGTTTCACAATTGTATTTAATTTTGCAGGGAACTGGTAGAATGCTGACAGCATGTCCTTGGGAAAGATAACGTATGGTAAAGATGACCATCACCACTTGCATGCTCCCTGCAGAGCTAGAATAGAGAGGCGGTGGACCGCCACCAGTAGACCATCTCGAAGAGTGGTTGGTCAGCGCGGTACTGGAGCCAGATGCCTGGCCCCTCGTGTTCAGTCTGAATAAGGTCACCCAATGTTTAGCCAGGTGGAACTTGGCGCTGCCCTTTGAAAGGAACGAGCTGGAGGCTGCATGAGACTGCTGTACTGCACAGCGCCAAGCTGCAGTATTTTTTCACTGGCAACGACTATCATCATTTGCGGATGGGTGTTCGAGAGGAGTTGCGGCATAATGCCTCCAGGAAGGCCGGAGCAGCTATAATATGGGTTCATGGGTTGAGTTGCGCTCCAATGCTCTACACAAAGTCAGACGCTGTCAGGTGTGCAGGTCTTGGTCACCCAATTACTGTAATTGTTCTGCCTGGAAACGCCACTGGACCACAAGTATACAAGTATATAGCCAAAAAGTCAGAAAGGAACCAGAAAACATCAGAAAACGATAATGGGAAACAACTGCAGGGCGCCGAATTCTCCGACGACAGCTTTGCATGTTCCCCAAACGGCGAGTTAATGACAAGAGTGCATAAACGTACAGTAACGGTAACAGGAAAACATCGAAAACACAACATCGAAGATGGCAGAAAAGGACCGTGTATTTATACAACTCCATGTTGAAATCACACGGATTGACAGGAGCAGGAGCAGGTGCGTTTACGACTCCACCGCAACCCACCAGGCAATTATTTTTTATATACCACTAATTACTGTACATCTAATTTCTGTGTGTGATATTCTGCAGGGTGCCCAAGGGGTGGGAAGGCAGTGCACGTGCATGCATGAAGTTTGGTGCTTAGCTTTCAATACCAACTTTGGATCCAACATTCCAATTGTACAATTTTATGGGTGTACATTGTACATCCGTGTATTTTGTTTTCAGCGCGAAAGATGCGACATATCTATGTGGAAGATTGTGGAAGGACGGAGGGCCGTCTGAGATCAGAGCACCCAGCTCACCTACGATACTGGACTGAGCAGGCCATCGATGATGATAGTTATCATCATCATAGCGCCTGGTGTTCGACCAATTCAGTGGTTTCAGAAATGATCACCGTTTGCTGGCAGTCCAATCGTGAAATATGTCCTTCTGGTTGCTGGCACCACCATGCCTCAATGGACCTCTTGGACTAATTGGCTAACAAGTGGCCGTACATTCGTCGGGTTCAATCTGTGGTAGCCAGATGCTTAGCACGATCATTTCAGAGGACCTTGGAGCAGGCTGTTTGAACTATAGAATTAGTTTGTTATGGTTCAAGTGTTGCTGGCCTAAGGTCATGTGATGCTTGGTAAATCCATCCAAAACATCCGCTGGTCCCCGAACACTTGCACCAGCTTCAATTCTTGCCGTGTGGCTTTGCCTTTACTTTGCATTCTGCCTGATCTCCCTAAAGTTCGGGGACCATAAGGTTGCTTTCCACTCATAGCAGAGTGAAAGAATGTGTGCAGGTCTTGGATTAAACCGCTCAGCGCTAGCTCAAGACGCCTCAGGGCTTGCCGCAAAATGGCGTGACAAAGATCAAATTATAGATGTAGATCTCCGACTGCAATCCTGTTTGTGCAACTGATGCGGATTTTTCCAACATGCGTAACATACCTGGCACTATTATTTGTCATCAGCATTAACCTGTGGAATCGTGCATTTCATGTCCAGGAAGTCAATCACTAGCCACACTATAACATAGTCAGCACATGTCAGCACCTAGTTGTGCAGGATGCCAAATTTATAGTTGAAAGACATTTTGAGGACCCCGCCACCGACGTTCTGCATTAAGCCTCAGAATGAAGATGTTGCCAGTGGCTATCCTGAGTTGCTAAATGCAGCAGGATGACAACTATCACGGCACAGCGGCTGTGGGTGTCGGCTGCACTGTATGTACGTATTTTACCCTCAGCATGCAAGAATCTACAACTGGCACACTAAATCACGATTGGGCACACACACACACATTGCACCACATTGTAGCAATGGCAAGACGTTACAAGATGCCTGAGGGCTGTTCCACATGGAGAACGTGGAGGCGGAGATGTGTCAAGGGGTCTGGTAAGGATTTGCCATGGGCAAAAGTTTGACCTGTTCGGTGTCGTGTGGGGTTGCACCCTTGAAATGCTGGAAAGCGTGCATTCATAATCGCATGTTGGGCGCCAGTGTGAGTGTTAATTCTGCATTTTGCGCGGCACGAGGGTGCAATAAATTTAGTCATTGATCCGGCACGGCAAGAGTCACCTGTTCTCCAAACTCTTTGCCACACAATTTTGATCTTTCTGTTAACACGCTCTCACATCAAAGTTTTTATCAACAAGTTCTTTTTTAGGGGATCTCACCCACCTCACCCCACCTGCGTTCACTGCGTTCACCTTATCTCATTGCATCAGATCGGGGTTGCCTCTCTTTTATTGTTTTTTTTTTTTTTGTCCACCTTCATTCGAGTCCAGCAGCTAGTAGGCTCACATTTCTCAACAGCCTCAGCCCTGACGCTTGATCAATTATGTCAACAGGGCCCTCATGCAAGAACGCCCAATTGAACGTCTCCAAGTAGTGGACCATGGAGTGCGAGCATTCTATAGATAGAATATGCTTAAACTTTTTGTTGAATATGTTTCTCTTGTTTTCCATGTTTGGCTGCCTGGATTTGAGATGACTGTGCTTCATGCTTGTTGCATGTATCAGGTGATCAACGGGTACCTTCAGAGCCGTGGGAGCTTGGTGCAGTGTGCTCTCACCGAGTCCAAGGGCCGAATCCTTGTGGCATCAAGGGACTTTGAAAGTGGAGAGCCTCAGTTGAATGATGGCCCAATAGCTTAGACTCTATTCAGTTGTGTTTTATGTTTTTTAGACTATATATATATACTACTGACTAGTAACTTAGGACTTGTCGGACATACACGCCAATTCCAAAAGCCTATGTCATCAGGATTGATCCAACATTGGCATTTCCTCTTAAGGCCTATGTCATCAGGCCACAACCATGATATTCATAGAAATATGTATGAGGTATTCAAGGAAGCAGCGCCCGCAAAAACACATAGTCGCACCCTATGTCACCACTGTGTCACCAGGGTGCCAGGCAGTGGTATCTAGCATTATTTAGCTGTTTTTTTGCTTTTTTTGTCGAGGAGGTGTCCACAGGTCCTATGACACCAGGTTTCCCAACCCAGACATTTTTTTTGCTCGATATGTCAGGGCACATGACTTAGCCTGGGGGTAGCCAGATTGGTATGTCACTTGCATCACGTTGGCCTAAGTCATTAGACAGTAGTATATTCATATATATATATATATATTTGATTCATGGGCCCTTTATAAACACATGATGTGCACACGCATTTGCATACTCATTTCATCCAATTTCCTTACCTGCTACTCTGGGTGTCCTTTTACCTTGGGAGTTGAGAACATCAGCCCCACACATATCCATTGTACATGCAGGCTTTCAGTAGTCACTGAAGACTCACCCAGCTACGATTTAGGCAGACGGATGGTCATAGAGTGCCATGCTACATTTCTGCAAATCCTGTTGTTTTCCTTTTCAGGACGTCATCTACACCGAGCCGCCGCTGCACATCATCGAGGCACTATTGCATGATTGAAAATAAATTTGTGCCGTTTCGCTAGCGCACGTCCATTTGCCCTCCATGTTGTCCATTTTCAGCACATTCCAGCACTACCAGTTGGTAATTTCAGCCACCCTTGAACGAAGCATTCCAGTGCTGAAACATCCATAAACATCCTATTTGGTCCTATCTGAGAGGCGCGACCCACCAGAGTGTGAGGCAAATTGAGCGCCTTCCTCTCAAAATTTTGGGGGGTTAGAAGTTTAGAATAAATATCAACACATGCACAACTTTGAATGCAGGAACAGCGGGGCCTTTAGGCAAGAGTTGAGCAGGTATGAGTGAGTTGTTTGGGTCGGGTACTGGATTGGCTGATGTTGGTGGTTCGCTGAACCTCTTGGCATCTGGAAGGAAGATGAGAATAGTGAACTTTTCCGGCAGTTGGAGCAGTTCGCTTTGGTGCATGACCTTTGCTATAGTGCGCGGTGGTGCCACGGCGGGACAGAGAAGGAACCGCGCTGTACAACATGCATCCAAACAAATTACACCATATCCGCATCCATGTCCAAACGGCAAGTTTTGACAGAGCGAGGGGCATTCCTCAAGGTATACGCCACAAGACAGTGTTTTGAACTCCAGGTGCTGGTGCGCTCTCAACTCCTTGACAGCTGGTGACCTCGAGCAGCTTCCTTTGCGGTGCTCCCTTATCTCGGAAGGCACCAGCTGAGTCGTGCACTAGCACACAAACCTAAGAGTTTGAAAGGGTCATAAAGGGTCCCAGAAGGCCCGAAAGAAAAAGGATAGAAAGGGAAAATTCGACATTTGCGGCCGCAAGAAAGAGCAAACCGCACAACCCCTCCATGACAGCCTAGCTTGAAAGGTTAAGGGTTTTCCGAGAGGATAAGGACACAAGAAGCTACTAGGGGCTCCTGGCATCGCTACTAGGAGCAAGGACGCTACTAGGGGCTCCTGGCCTTACTACTAGGAACAAGAAGCTACTAGGGGCTACTAGAGAATAAGGACACACAATCACAGCTGTCCCCTGAGAAGGATTACAACGCCAGCTCCTGTGGCTTTGTGCACCTGATGAGCACCTCGGCCGCTGCTGGGTATAAACGGAAAATATTCAACGAAAGGCCGGCAACATTGCATAGTTGCAGTTGAAAGGACGGCGCGTATGCTTATTTTCCGTCATTTTGCTAGATGATCTTGCACCAAGAGTAGTCATTGTAGCACCGCAGATGAACCAGGAATGACTCGGCAGCGCTGCCTGCCATACAGCAGCTGTTGCTGGACCTGGGAATGACCACAGATTTGACGGATAAATTTTGGCGGCTGCTGCAAGCAACCTGGCATCAAGAGGGTCATGTTGAGAGATAATCGTGTCGCAAAAATGTCATTGTGTAAAGCAGTAATGACCAAGTGACCTGGTTATACTCACTCACGGTCTTATGTTCTTTTCAAAGCTAAGTGTGAGAATGACATTCCAAGAATAAACTATTCCTGCTGAACGTTTCAACAGCTGGAAGCAAGCGAGCAGTTACCAAGGGTAAGGAGCCTGCACCGCTGTGCACCCTAGCAACCGGAGCCATTTGAGGTTTGGAAATACAACAGCTTCGAGTACAGTGACGACCCCGTTGCCTCCGCCATTTACTTGCAGGCGTCTTTCCACTCACACGAGACCTGGCAGTCTTCGGTACTGCGATTTGGTATTGTACATCTTGCATCGGGACTCCTGAACATGCAGCCATGTGGACATTTATGCAGCAGCAAGGACTGCAATCCAAACTCCAACTGGGTAGCTGATGAGCAACTGGTCCTCCGTGCTCGCAGACCAATTGCTGACGCTTGACTAATGTGGCTAGAATTTTTGGCTCGCTTGCACAACCAGACACCAAGCACTACTTGCTTACCTGCATGTTTGAAGGTGGCTTGACCACTGGGCTTGGTTGGTGCGTAAGCTGCGCAAGTGAAGCATTTGCCGAGCAGAGGCCTAAAGACATTTGATTACTCGGGATATTGTATACTCCTGATGGTGTTGACGACCGGAACCATGAAACATTGCCAAGGAGGGACAGGAATCTAAGACAAGACACCTATAAGGAACCTATAGAAACCTGTAATTACACTGTAGACACTGTAGAAGCATCAGCTGCAATTGTTGAAGTGTTGTGCACATGGGGCATGGTGGTATGCAAAATAGCGGCGTTCATGTACTGCACAGGTGAATGAAAGCCTATTGGTCTATAGAATCAAACAAGTTGATATACGCACCACCGTTGATCTTGCCTAGGCATGCACCAAAAAAAACATCACTGTTTGCAGTTTCTTTCCTGTTTGGACCAGTTCATTGCTGCACGGTATGCCCAACCCGCGAGCACTGCAGATGCCACTTGTTCAAGACCCGAGGCTGGCGAGGAGGTGACCATTAGCTATTTGTCAGATGAGGACTGCGATTTTTTAAAGCTTCCTTGAAGAAGCGCTCGCACGCTATGTTAATGGATGTATGATTACATTTTTTGCTTGAGGCAATAGCCACCGACCTTGCTATAGCTGCTCGAAGCTGATAATCCCAAGGGTGACACAGTCATCACAGTCATCACACATCATCACGGCTTCTTTTAGTTGTGGATCAGTTTTTTCCAGGTTGAGGCCCAGACGATGCTTGAATTCCTCGCGCCCAGCTCCACTCAGCTCATGCAAGGAGCTTTTCGAAGCCACTATGGAGCGTCGCATGCGCTTGCGGATCTCCAAGGTCGTCATCCAAGCACAAATTTGGGATTTTTGTAGATGCAAACTTGGACTGAAAACCTGCTTAAAGCATGCTTGGTAGCCTGCTTATGCATTCTGTGCTTTGGGCTGGCCACCTTGCCCTGCAAACAGCCGCTTGTGTATTTGTTCTTCAGCAGCATGCTCGAGTTTTAGTGTATGCTACATATTCACATCTCACTTTTTCAACAGTTTATTGTTCTGCGCCGTATTCCCGCTGCTTGAATTCAGATCAGTGCAGGATTTTCATTGCCTTTGTCAACGCTGTTCAGAGCATTGGGACCGCAGTCGTGGCGTGCGCTGCCGCTGCGGCAGTTTGCGGTTCCTCGCCGCGGAAGGCTGGGAGAAGGGCAAACTTGTGATGTACAGAAAGCTCCAGAAGTAGGGTCACCGGCACATAACTGACATAATATATCAATTAATACATCGTCATGGGAGATGGCCGGAAGTATCCGGAAGTCAGCAATCTTGATTAGATTGAAATGAGAGTTAGGAGAGAGGATGACTGTGGGACCACTGTGGCCATAGGCATCCCAATGACTTAGCCCGAGCACCTGAGAGTGACACTAAGACGGACGTATACCAAGAGGTGAGCCATCCGTGGCTGGCCATGCGGAGGATCTGACTTGTCGCCTTGCGACGCTGGCTGTGCCTGGCCTGCAGTCGAGGTGACCAAGAGAGAGGAACTTTTGGTCCAGCTTTGCAGGCGCGACCACATGCTGAGCTCAAATGGGGCCGGGCTTGACCGGAGTCAGAATGATTGCCGTCCTTTGTCGCTGTTTAATCCACTGTGAAACCTGGAAAAGCTTAGCAGCCTAGCACATGGAATTTATGTTTCAGATTCACCCCCCATAATATCTAATTGCCACCGTGTTCTGCGGGGCGGTGTTGCCTCAAACTGTGACTTGAGATGGTTGACCTCAATTGTCAAAGAATGAAGATGCTCCAATGTACGTCTATATAGATATAGATGTTCTCTCGCTTATATAATCAACCGATTTGGCAGTAGCATTCAGACTCTGACATGACAACGATGGTAATGTAAGGATATGTAAGGTCTTTATAGGTCTGTCCGTTTGTTTAAAAGTTGCCGTATTCTGTTTGAGGTTTTATGTGTAATTATATGTTCCTTGTTTGCTTTATTTCTCCATGCGATGAATGTAGACACCAAAAGCTGACGACCCAGAGGCAGCAAGCCGACGCAGATCGTGCCACACGTTTGGCCACGGCCCAGAGTTTCGCTCCAGCTGCACACCAACTGTTGCCAAGGCGCAGGAGAATTGTTGAGCCTCTTCCATTTGTTTCTGGGAAGCTACTAGGAACAAGTGCATCGCTGCTAGGAGCAAGTGCCTTACTACTAGTAACAAGAAGCTACTAGGAACAAGTGCATCGCTATATGTTCGTGTCACTTAACATGGTGCATCACCTGGTGGGCATCTCCAGACCTGATGCATCCAGTGATTTGTATGGGCTTTTATATTTGATCGTTGGATCCTTGATGTATTTGTTTCATTTCGTTGCCAGCAGCTGACAACATGTAGTAATCCCCAGCAAGCTGGTTTTGTCTAGTAGCGCTATGTGTATCGAAAGATATCGAACGTATTGTCCATGGGAAGTTGTGAGCCACAGACAGACAGAAATAGATAGACAAGCGTAGATAGATCATATATAGCCATTTTTCGTGAGGACCCCTACTATGTATATAACAGCCTACCACTGATTGTACATTGCCTATATCTATTTAGCTGTAGTGGTTCACCAAGGTGAGTCAAACGATGTTCACCCGACCGCTACCACGTTGGCTCAAGGAAAAAGCCGCTGCCGCGACTTTTCCTTCAGGGTGCCGTGTTAGCTGTGCTGTGCACGGCTGCACCTTCGTTGCTTTTCGCTTCCGCACCCTTTCGCACTTTCGTTCGTTCGATCGCCGCCGTGCCTTCGTTCGTTCGGCTTACCCTTCACAACGGGCTCCCGACCTTCGGATACCGGTCGCCCGTGCGTGCTAATAAGCCGGGCCGCTAGGGATTTGGCAGGTTTCTTTCATCACGTGCCATATCGCTCCATTTCTTGGGCTATCCCATGCCTACCCGGCGGATTTACCAATCAATTGGTTATCAGCCGTATCGTTCCTGATACGGAAGCCCTCGCACCCATCGCAGCTAGGTTCACCCTGCTGCATCGTCGTCCAACGATGGGTCGCGTTGTACCTCGGCCTCAGCCAGTGCCGTCTCGACGTCATCAGCTGCCGCAGCAGCTTCGGCACCAGCCGAGGGGCCTCAGGACCAAGGAACATCTACTGTCCGCGCTTAGCGCGGAGGTCACGGGCCAAGAACAGGTGGATTCCGTGCAGGAGCCTCCACTTGCTCCCCGAGCCGTGTCTATCGTATCCTCTTCGCAGCCTACCTTTACTCCACCTGGTTCTGAAACTGCCGGAGCGGAGGCAGAAATCTTCGAGGAAGGAGCGCCAGACATTTCGACCACCGAACAGCTTCCAGTTGAGTCCACTCAGCTCGAGCCGCCAAGTAACCGGCAAGAGCATAATACCCTCCAAGACCAATCCACAGAAGCAGAGCTCCATGCCGGAACCGCTGCTTCGCGCGGAGAGGCTTCGGAGGCTCATCAATCAGATTCGATAGGCCCTAATAACGCCGAATAACGCCGAAGCACCTGAATTTCAGTCGAAGAAGAGGCCGAAGAGTTGCACTCCCCTCTACTGACGCTGCTGGCCTTCCCCCGATAGAATCCCACCAGCATCCAAATCCCTTCGAGGCAATTGCAGGATCCGACCCTGTTTTTGACGAAGCGGAGGTCGACTACGGAGACGACGGCATTGAACCCAAAGTCGAAGTAGACGACGAGATTGGAGGCGGTGAGGAGGAGGGAGAAGAGGGCAAGGAAACCGCGCCTAGCGCGGAGGCATCGACCGCATCCCAAAACACCGCTACCGACCCTCAACCCAAGAGGACTAGAGGTGCACGGGGTGGACAGAAACATCAGTTTGAAGCGACAGATAAACGGTATGCAACGACTTGCGATATTATTGCAAGTCATATGGCGGCATACACGTATCGAGAGACCAGGCATTCGTGGCACCTACCGTTTATAAAACCTTTAACGGCTAGGGAGCATTACCCGGAGTGGTACAGATATGTCGTCCATCATTCCGACGCCTGGTCCGAAGAACCTGAGGACGGGCTCATGTCGCCAGACTCACTTCGCGCGTGGGCAGCCATCTTGCCAGAATTCTGGACTTGGTGCGCTAGGCACATGCGTCATGTATACCCTCAACTACTTAGGGTCTGGAATCAGTGCACCCCTAGGTGCTGGGACTGAAAGGTCTAACATGGTTTCATGATCATGGTAGACCCTCAAACTTGACTATGTTAGACCCTCAACATGGATAATCGGTGGACCGACCTCATTTTAGTGTTTTTGAACATTAGAGCTGCAGGAACTTGATGTCAGACCTTTTTAATAAAATACGTTGTTTTAAACACCTTCAACAGAACACCTTAGTCCTATGCTGTGAGAGTTGAGCCTTGTCTTTCTGCGGTGTGATATACCTATGTGGGGGTCAAGGGGTATCCATCAAACTTGTCGTAAATATGTAACCGGCAACACCTCTAGAAGAACATCTTAGACCTTCCCTAGTACCTTCCAAGACGGACCGAAGCCTTCCAAGCAGTTCGTAGCTTCGTAGGTCGTCGAAACCGCTGCCACCCGGCGCGGTAATTCGTGCATGTACATAGTGCAGCTGCCCCACATCGGGGAGGGGGGAGTCATTTTTCGTGAGGACCCCTACTATGTAACAGCCTACCACTATTTGTGCATTGCCTATCTATTTAGCTGTAGTGGTTCACCAAGGTGAGTCAAACGATGTTCACCCGACCGCTACCACGTTGGCTCAAGGAAAAAGCCGCTGCCGCGACTTTTCCTTCAGGGTGCCGTGTTAGCTGTGCTGTGCACGGCTGCACCTTCGTTGCTTTTCGCTTCCGCACCCTTTCGCACTTTCGTTCGTTCGATCGCCGCCGTGCCTTCGTTCGTTCGGCTTACCCTTCACAACGGGCTCCCGACCTTCGGATACCGGTCGCCCGTTCGCGCTAATAAACCGGGCCGCTAGGGATTTGGCATGTTTCTTTCATCACTTGCCATATCGCTCCATTTCTTGGGCTATCCGATACCTACCCGGCGGATTGACCAATCAGTTTATATAATCCATATTGACGAGCTCGGCTCTTGAGGAACTTTCTCCCATTCCACCGTACTTCCAAGAACTTCAGAGTCACCCGCACGTTCGGCAATCATCCCTTCACTCAGCAGCGGGTTCGCGATGCTGCGTGCTTCGTCAAAACCTTTGTTCTGTCAGCCCTGCAAGACTGCCGGACTGCGAGTGTAGTTGCTTAGTCCGACAGCAGTAGAACAGAGCAGAGGAGAAGAGAAACTTCAATCAAGCATGCTTAATATTTAATTTGACTTGCTGGATCCTGCTTTTGAGAGGCACTGGGCAACCGAGTGCTTGCATAAATGGCTGGCTGAAGGCAGGTCCTTGACTTTCTGATCGTGACCCTTTCAAATCAAGATGAACATAGTGCCCCATACCAGCACAAGCACACGAGGACTATCTATTTGGATCTATTTGAATTTTCTGGTTTCTCGTGCAGATGCATGGGAGGGAACTGACGATCGTTGATACCGTTGGAGCGGACCCTGCAGGTTGCGCGACAAAGAAAGAGGCCAAAGAATGCGAGGAGAAGAGGCTTGAATTTCTACAGGAGCATCAACCGCTCACGATGATTCATGATGATTAGACCGCTCACGATGGTTTGAACAATCTATTGTACCTTCAGATGCGCACAGAAGATAAGGGGTCGAGACTCAGAGTTTTTCACGCAATGCTGCAATGCTTATCAATGGCCAAGTTTCTGGAACCGAAACAGAAAAGTGAACGTATTGCAAATGATCTACCAATGTGAACCGCTGGTTGGGTAATGACACCTTGGGATTTGAACATGCAGTGACAGAATCCAATCCTCTTTCTGTTTCTATTTGCATTTGCTTTCCCTCCTCCTGATAGTGCTTTTGCAGTATCTCACACTTAGAAGTGCCTGTGCTACTTGTAGCTGTCATTGTAGCTACTGGAAGCCAAGTGCTTCAACGTTTTGTGTGTCAAAATGTCAATGTGCACCATGTTAAGATTAGGATCATAGCGCTTCCAGAGCAGATCAATGACCGCTTCCGGTGCATCGTGTTGTATACGGCCCTATGGCTTCGACCCCCGCTCGCAAGCACGAAAATCCTGCATCCAGATGCGCGGAGTGCAGGATGCCTATGAAGGAGCCATGCGCAATACACACACAGCGTGGGTCATGCAGTGGCCTGGCAAAAACTGGGAGGTAAAGCCGCATGATCGGCGGGTGTGTTGATTTGACTGGGCCGCAGTTGTAAATGTAGGCATACCTGTTTCAGGCAGGCACCAACGCCCAATGGGTAGAACATGGCGTACAGAACCCTCGAAAGGGCCTCAGCGACCTCCAAGGAGCTTGGCTATGTGGACCCTGAGCTCATGCGGAGTATTGCGTGAAGACCCACCTCCTAGCCCTGCACCTTCGACTGAGCGGGAAGGGTATGAGGCCAGTGACCCGACAGGCAGGATTTGCGAAACATCCTTGAGGAAACCTCTTTGTTGAACTCTCAAACAGACACAGACCAGCTGCTTCGCAATGAAGAAGACCAAAGTGACCATGACATTGGCCACAGTGCACTGGCAGGATGAAGGATGAGCCCTAAGCCTTGGACGGAGATGATGTTTAAGGATCATATAAAAGGAGATATCATGTTTTAACATGTTATAACATATACTAGTCCCAGGTGAGTTGGGAGTTTCGCACATACACCCTAGAGGCCCGTCCGGCCATCTCATCTGCCGAAAGCATACTTTTGGCGGAGACCACAGGAGAAGAGACAAATGGCCATAAGGTGCCATAAGGACCTATATAACTCATGTGCTGAAAAAGCTTTGCTGATGCCAGCATATGCCAGCGTGCTGGGACTTCGGAGGTCCCAGCCAAAGTGTCAGATCTTACTGGCACAACCTGGAAACGCTAGATGAGTTAGCTCTAGGTAAACATCTCCGCAGTCATTCAGGGGCTTCCGGCACAGAGCAACATGTAACATGGGTGTTTGATATTTTTTGTTGTTAGTGCCAATGTTCGCTGTTTATTGCCAACCGAGCGCAGGTACGATTTCATGTTACACACGTGGCTCGCACATGGGTATATTTTTTGCTTTAGATTCAGCACATAGTCCCATCTGATCGGCTGGAAGTCGGTATGGCACATGAGATGGGTTTCATGTTTTTGTGCCATCAGCATCACATTCGCCCAAGACTTAGTCGCCTCATTTCGTGACCTATCTCATTTGTCAACCTTGTTTTTGTTGCTCTCGTAAAGTCCTATTTCACTTCCGGGTCCCGTAGTATAACTGTATCAATGAAGCTAAAACTATAACTTACTTAATCCAATCAGTTCCATTTGGAGTGCATTGAAGAGTGGAATGTTTCAGACACACAAATGCAAGTAGCTGTAGCTGGCATTCTTCCAGCAGCTGCTTGCAGCATGCGCGACTCCACATGCGGTGGTCCTTGCAATGCTTTTGTTTGGATGTCAGCAAGGTGCACCTGAGACACTAGGCCACACTATAATTACGCCTGAGAGCAAGCACATACATCCAAATACCAGGGCGACCTTTCGGAAGAGTGACTCATCCACCACACTGTTTTTCTCCGCCAATCCCTCCACGCGTTGACGATCCAAGCTTTGTCAAGGATTGTTGGGCAGCAGCTCGTGAAAGCGGAGCGCTGGATTTATTGGAAAAGGCAGCGCAAGTCTTCAAAGAGTTGAACGGCGAAGAAGACAAGAGTCTTGAAAGCACGTTCAGTTGGCTACAAAGAGACTTCATGCTTCATGCTTTTGTGTCGGGGGTTAAGTTAGCGTCCAACTTGACATTCCATGGGGGGTGAATGGCAGGGGTGGATTGTGATGAGCTCCAACTAATGACGAGGCAAAGAATGGTTCGCGTCACCTGAGACCTAGGTACTTTTGTCACGTCCAGGGCCATTTGAAGCGCGTTTGGGATTTGGCTGGGCCGAATTTGGCAAAAAAAGAATTGCTGCGCGCTCTTGGGCCAGCACAGTCAGCTTGTCCTGTCCACCGTGTCATGCAATGAAGCGATGCTGCGTCGCAAGTTGGAAACGTTTGCATACGCGAAGTAGCCACAGAATCAGCCGTGCTCCTGTTCATGGGCCCAGTGACCTACAGTATTTCTTATAGGTTTCCATGATGTTTTTCAATTGTTTGTTTGGTGATCTTGATTCCATCGGCCGGCCTTGCAGGTCTTTTCCGTCGCAATGCCTGGGAGCTTCCGCCTCCAGAGACCGTGCCAAGCAATTGGTGGGAGAAGAAGGGCAGTGATGACAGGCGTTGTTCTCAGCGGAATGGTGGAGTGATGTGGAGTGGGACGGTCTCTGGGACGTTGAGTTTGAACTACTTCCAGTTCTGTGAGTTGGTCTTAGGTCTTTGTCATGTCTTGTCATACAAGTACACACTCTAACATTCCTTACAATCTTTTTTTGGATGTTGTTTGGATGGTCCTGCGGAAAGAAGAGTGGCAACTCATGATGTAAGCTGAGAGTGTCTCAATGAGGAGTTCAATCTGCTTTAGTAGTTTCATGTAATTTCGTTGGTTGTGCAATTATGTGTTTGTCGGACATTGTCCGAGTCATCAACTTGCTGGTAGTGGTGTTGACCGTGAAGACGGTTGTAAGTAGAGATGCAGAGAAGCACCAAGTGTTTGCACTTGATGCGGCGGAGGCTGAATGTCCGCACTACACCGCCTGAGTGACTTCCCTAGTTGTCGGCATTCAATCCAACACCCTCTGGTTGTCCACTGTGCATTGCATCGCTTGCATCACTGTTCGGCAGATGGGCCGATGTTCTCCCCGCTTTTGAGTGTAAATACTATTCGGGCTCAGGATGCCCAGTTACAGTTGGGCGTCTTGACGTGTTAGATTCTTTCGATAGTTAGTTGCATAGTCGGCGTTGGTCACCGTGGTCCCAGGTGGATTCAATCCACAGTCTCCGACTCAGAAGCCAGTGGATTTGCTATGATTTGCTACAACAAATTGGTAAGGGAAGTCTTCAGGAAGCATACCGCATTGCCACAGCAAGCAATTTCTTTATCATGAGTTCTGAATTAGTCTAGGCTTGGCATTCTCAAGCAAGAGGGATAATCCACCGTCTATGAAACGGTGCCCAATACATGTTCAATCCGATGGTTCAAGGGATTCAGGACAATCCATGTAATTACAGTAATATATAAGTAGGGATCAATTCCAGGTGCTGAGATGCTTTTGGATTCAAACGGGATTGATTTGGGAGTCACCCTATATTTTTTTGGTGTTCATGTTTGCAGCTTGAAGACTTGAAGGTAACTCCGGACATTGTTAGATCTGAAACCGATAGAGTCCAGCAATGAAGGTTGTCAAGGCAAAACAAAGCAACACAAAGCAAGTAACCCAAATCATATAGTTATATGTGTGATATGATTTGATATTATATGTAATATAATGCAATGCAATGCAATGTAATGTAATGTAATGTATGTATAGTATTGTGTATGTGTATGTATACGTATATGTATACATAATGTATGTATGTAATGTAATGTAATGTTATGTAATGTACTGTAATGTTGCATAATGTTATTTAATGTTATGTATGTTTGTTTGTTCGTTTGTTTGTTTGTTTGTTCGTTGGTTGGTTCGTTCGTTCGATCGCTCATTCGTTGGTTCGTTGGTCCGTTGGTTGGTTGGTTGGTTCGTTCGTTCGTTCGTTCGTTTGTTAAACATGTATGTTCGGCAACGCGCTCCAGCAATCATTTACGATGATCATTGCCGCCCAGCACTTGTGCCAAAACACTTGACATATTCAGCTGACCTCGCCAGACCCCACCGTGGACTGCAAGAGCGGGACACGTGGCATTAGCCGCTTGGACCATTGGAGCACATGAACAGTCCGCAATGTTTAGAGTTTGAAGCTTGGGACCGGGAGCATGGGACAGCATTGAGGACAGGGTGCATTGGAGGAGCCATGTAATTACGGCGGATTTGGATATATACCACACAAGCAAAGTCCAGTTGACAAGTGTCAAGTAACGTGTTCATATGCAAAGTGCTTGGGATTGCGCGATCAGCATCAAAGACTCAGTTCGAGCGATGGTGCTGAGGTAGACCCGGAGACCAATGCAGCCGCCTCAGACATGTCATGTTGCCCACAGGTGCGGTTAGTTTGGTCGGGTCCATTTCGATATGGACTTCGCAGTCACGGTTGGCAGGGACAATGTTGAGAAGCAGCAGTCCTTTTCTTGTCAAGCGCTTGGTGAGGCTGTTTTCATTCTGGGTGGCGAGGTGGGTGCTGTATTTCATCCTAGCAGGAATTTCCATTTTGTTTAGTCTCATGATGTGCAGGAGCATTCAGCAGCATTGTGATTTCACCTGATAGCCAGTGAACATGACAATAGCTGGCAACATACGGAAAGCCGTGGTGGTCAGGGGCCTTCGGGCTACATGGCAGACATGTGGAAGGAGGCTGGCCCAATCTGCATTCCATGTTCAGTGCGGATTTGGGGACAGGGGATTGAACATGATTGAACCAACTACGACAAAGTAGTGATTGAATCTATATATCCCATTACTCGAGTGACCTTCAATTTGATGTTTCGAAGGCGCGCGCGCGCGCGGGTGTGTGTGTGTGTGCCCCTTGTAGTCACGGGGATTCTTTTGAATTGAAAATTGTTCTATTTTAAGCAGGGGCGTACGGCTCGTCATACCCACCGTACGCAACGAAGCTACGGTATGACGAGGGAGGGGTGGACTGATCATCCACCTGTACCTGCTTGAATTTTAATTTTGCTGAGTTGAGTTTTGCATTCCGCAGACTTGCAAGTCACGCTGTCATCTGTCGGTTCGATTTCGACTTGAGTCTTTGGCCCCTTCTCCTTTTGAGGACCCCGAGGCCCCAGTGGTTTCCTACTTATCTTCTTAGGAATTGGTACCCTAGGCCGGCGTGTGGCACCGCTGTCAAGTCAGTACGCATATCCATAAGTGTGTCTGGCCCTGTGCCAGTCCGGGATGAGCCCGTAGAGTGCCTCCCGTGGACCCGTCGAACGGGTGTTTGTCCATGTTCCCCGGCTTTGGGAACGTAGGTGTCCGAAGCGGACAGTAGCTGGCTCATGCCACAAGAACTCAGATTTTTTGTTTCATTTTTGGAATTCCAAGTTGGCTCATGCCTTTACGTGACCGCAGCGGTCCAAGCTGGCTCAGAGCGACCGAAGTACTTTTGTTGAGGTTCGTTGGAACCTGTCCCACTCTCAGGTGCACACACAGCGCTTACATTCAAACGAGGCAGGTCCCTAGGCGCTTTTAATGAGGTATGGCTTCATCGGTTCTCGTCCCCTCCATTTGGTTCCCCTTTCATCCCTTCCCCGTCACACACTTTTGTTTCCTCTTTTCTTTCATGTCCTCCTGTCTTCATGTCTGGTCATCTCATCCTTTTCTTCGTTTGTGCGCACATTGGTCCCGGCCTTAGTGTGTACGTGCACTTTTACATACATTTATATTAACACAGGCTTCAGGTCGCCCAGGTCTT